GTCTTGTTACATTTAAGCAATTCGATTAATTATTAAGGATACGAGTATAAAGCGTTATATTTTTCATTTTATGAAAACTATAAAGTCAAGGTTTGCGCAAATTGCGGTAAAAAGGTGCGAAGGTCGCTATTTAGCACGTTGATTGCCATGGCTACGTGACTTGAGTGCTGTAGTTCGATGGCATGATATCATTGATAATAAATTGCATTGCAGTATGACGTGTGAAATAAAAGAGATAAAGATCTATGGATACAGAAATAGAAAACTGCGAGTATGATAAAGTCACACACAGCCTTGGATGAAACGACGACAGTAAAAAGATTAGAAATTTCATGTTGTTACGTAGTAAGTATTAAACTCGTTGTCCCTGGTTCGGAGAACTTCATATATGACGGTCGTTGAACTCCGGTTGCACGTTCCTGCGCGAATCGGCCAATTTTTTTTACGAAGCTTTCACGAAGACTATGTAAAGCAGCACGCGATAGGAGCGAATTCATTAAATCAATTATCTCCTTGGTCTGAAAACTAAGTGGAACGAAACACAGAATATACAGGGAAAGAAACGCTTCCTTGATTCGCTGTTGTGCTTTATATGCTTTTAATTTTGTATTTAAAAAATTATTTTTCGATACTGAAGTCTCCTTTGTTATTAAATTTTTGTTATTAAGTCTTTCTTCGCAAAAATACTGGAACACCAAAGTATTGGAACACCAGAACAAAAATTCGTAGTGCTATTTTAGTTGTATTATTATTATTTACGTATTAAAAATTTTGCCTTTGCTTATATATTTTTTTCTTTCTTAATTTAATCTAATTTACTTAGAGTGTAAGGCTTCCATTAATTTTGGATATCTTTTTCAATGTTAGATTGACGTTCACACGCAATCTATCGGCGGTAATAGTAACAGTTAACAAGATTATTAGCACGTTTATACTTGAGCACATTGCGCATCCTTCCGGTCTGAAAACGAAGTGGGGCGAGGCTCTCAGCACGCGGAAGTGGAATTACGCAACGCGCGAAATGCGTTTTTTTTTTCTTGCGCTTCGACGCAATTTCATACTTTGCAGCGCAACCGGGATCGTGTTCGAGAAGTGCACTAATTGTTTCGTACGGTACGTATTATCATCGACGCGTTAGCGTTAGCTCCATAGAGGAGCACTTATTTGTTATCCTTTTGATCTTTAAACGAAATATAACGCAACTGTAATCCTATTTAATCGACTCTGTTGTTAATCTGCATGATATTCATAAACCAGCATTTATCGCGGCAAAAGCGGACCTTATTTACGAAAATCAGTGGTTTGTAACAAACGTTGTCGCAGCTCCGCGTAATACGCGATTATTGCCGTTTCTAGAATAAACCGCAATTTCGCGGAAACAAGCGTGAGAAATGTCGTCCGTGTGTGCTAAAAACGATTCCAATGCGGACATTCAAGTCATGTAGCGTATACGTAGCGAATGTTAAATATCGACAAACATCAAATATTTTTAAGAGGATATATGTAAAAGTTATTTAAATAATTTCAGAATTAAGAGTCCTTGTACGTTATAAAAACTTTCCTGTTTTCTTCTATCTTGACTCTTAATCTTTCAGTGCCACTCTATACCGTTGTAGTATTTACTGGATATTGCGAAAAATAACACACACGAAAAATGAAAATATTGAAAATATGAAAATGTTATAGACAAATATTTTTTTTAAACGAACCACTATTAGAAATATAACAGTAAATATAACTGCATTGAGAAATATAACAGTAACAAACAAAGATGTATCTTTATTATTATTTAAAAAGTTATACTATAGCGAAATAAAAGAAAACTTTTGGTATGCCACACGAGGAATGATACCGAAGGTTTAAGAGTGCCTGTCGTATCAGGAAATACCCAAAAATTTTAGCTGCGTCCCTGCCCGTCCTTCATGCATTCCCCTCCCCCCCTTTCCCCCTCCATACAACGAGGCCACGTTTCCGGTCCCTGAATGAAGTCACACCGACGTGGAGGGTGCGGAGTTGTCAAAGAGATGGACCTTTTGTCGCTCGGAAAAGAGGAGCGTCTCGTTCGCGACGTACCTTTTGTTCCAGCATCTTTATTAAGTCCGGATCACCGGTGGGAAAAATTGCGCGCGATGTCCTCCGTGATCCGCGTGCTTCTTTTTTTCAGACTTCAATTCACACCACCGAGCTGTATCCACGCAAAGATGTGACCGGTTAGAACCGGGGGAGCATGACTAACTGTACACGGACGAATGTCTCACTCTTCGTGCTCCTTGATTCCGTAAATTACTTTGTCCGAGAAAACAGGATTGTTTCGCTCGCACAGCCTGTGAAGGATGGGATAATGTTTAGAATATTCTGCTTAAAAATTTTTATCATCGAGATTCTTATACGTGAAAATTAGTTGCAACTCTATTTATTTATATGATTTTTATTTGTTATGTGTACAATATTTATAAGGAATTAACATTTCACATTTTTTAATCTATATTTATGTTAATTAATATATTAATTTAGAGAAAGAATGACTGAAATATCGGGAATAATTAAAAGATACGTGAAAATTAGTTGCAACTCTATTTATTTATATGATTTTTATTTGTTATGTGTACGATATTTATAAGGAATTAATTATAATAACATTTTACATTTTAATCTATATTTATGTTAATTAATATATTAATTTAGAGAAAGAATGACTGAAATATCGGGAATAATTAAAAGATTTATATCGGTATATAAATAGATACCGAAGTGAATTTTCAATTTCTACTTTAGATGAAATTTCAATCTATATTTCGGTGAAATTTTATTTTGAATTGTTTATTATTTGAATTGTTTATTTTTATTTTGAATTTATGTTAATTAATATATTAATTTAGAGAAAGAATGACTGAAATATCGGGATAAAAGATTTATATCGGTATATAAATAGATAGTTGTGTTATTTTCAATTTACTTTAGATGATATTTCAATCTATATTTCGATGAAATTTTATTTTGAATTGTAATTTATATATAGTTTCACGTGTGAACTCTTCCTTTAGTGATAAAATTGAAAAATATTGTCGTTCAATCTTTAAGTAAAGTCTCGATATCCTATTCGTGTCACGTCGTAAGTAAGTTGCAGCTAGTTGCGATCAACAGAGCATGACCGTCGCACTATATCTTCCTGTTTAACGATCGCATCTTTCTGCTACATTTTGTGCGCACGAAACTTTGTAAATCGATGCATAAGTGAACAAGTTACGAATGTTTTACTGTAATTAATTTTATTACTGCAGTTCAATATTTTTTTATATAAATAAATTGATTTAAATACGTACTAGATATCTTATCCGCAATATTTCTCTTAAAAAAAAAAAACAAATTTTTAAATATTATCTAAAAATGTTTTTTAATCAGAATTTTATAATATTAGCCTTTGAAGTAGCCTTTGAACGATTATTTTTCATTTATTCTCAAAAGATTTGTCCTATATATATTTATTAGATTTATACATTAGGAGAAAATATTATATAGATCAGTAGTCTATTCTTATATTTAAGATGTTATATTTAAGATGTCTTAGGATGTTATAAACTAATCACAGAGTTATATTAACATCTTAAGATATTATTATTAGCATTTTAAAACTTGAAATAAAAATTGATTATATCGACTATAATATTTTTATTGAGATTTTGATTTTAAATTTGTATACATGGTGTCCCGAAAGTTTTTGCCAATCACTTTTGTGTAGATAGAGACGGACTAAACTGAGTCGAAAAGTTTTGTACTATTTTGCAATTTTCACGATAGTTAACAAAATATTAATTACTAAAAATTGCTAAACAATGGTCTTGAATAATTTTTTACTCAAATACTATTAACTTTATAGAAAAGCTGCAAGAGACAAAAATCATTTATTTTCTTCTCATAAGATTCACGAGAATTTTTTCAGAATTTTTAAATATTAATATTAAATATTTTCATATTGATAAAAATAAGAAAATGCAGTACTAAAAAGTTGATAAAAAATTCCGATAGAATTCTTAGAGTTCTATGAGAAGAAAATTAATGATTTTTGTCTCTTGCAGTTTTTCTGTAAAATTGATATTATTTCAGTAAAAAATTATTCAAGATTAATATTTGGCAATTTTTAGTAATTAATATCTTGTTAACTATTGCGAAAGTTGCAAATTGGGAGAGGACTTTTCGACTCAGTTTAGTCCGCTCTATCTACACAAAAAATGATTAACAAAAACTTTCGGGATACCCTGTATATGTCTTACGCATTTACCATGATTTATCATTTTCCATGCAATCACAAATGCGTTCGAATTTATCAAACGGACCAGACGAAGGCTCTCTTAACGAAAGGTATTTGTGGGTATGAGCATCTGCGTTCAACCGGTCGGCCGGCGGCACTGGTCCATCATAATTTCAATCTTGCATCTTGCGTTATTCGACATGAAAATTACCGTGCCAGCGCGCACTCGAAAATTCGACAAGTAGTATATAGCCACGAAGTCGATTCCAAGCAGACATTTTGAACCGACTTGGAATTATGAAATTTTTTACTTTTTTTCGAAATTTTGATGAACGACAGACACCTGTTCGAATTGTATAAAAAATGTAAAAAAATCTGGATCTATATCTCTAAACTTGAAGTGAGTCACGTGTACGATAAATAACCGCTTATTGAAGGTACTTCATAATTCCTTTTACTCATTGTCAGTTATCTCGACATTCGCCGTATACTTGGAAGCTGAAACCGCCGGTCTTGGTTTTAAAATTCTTCAATGACTCACAGATTTCACGATTAAGCAACACGATTGGTTGAGGATTACTCACCGGTTTTTAATATTACCTTCTCTCAGAAGCAACCAAGTCGATTGTTCGTTTTTTGCTCGAGTTTAGAAAATCATACAGTTTAGAAATAGAACGATATTTGATATATTTGAATTGCTTGCACAATTTCTCACGTTTGCTGGTACATATAGGTGCCTTCGTATTTGCAGATACATCCAGATGACGCGATGACGCTACATTGGTGGATGCACTGGTTCTGGGTTACCGCGCAATTTCTTGGTGAGTCATCATTACATTGTTTTTTTTTTTTGTTAAATAACATCTTTACAAAGTAAGATTTTTCCAATTTATTAGTAATCCTCTTAATTGTTTTTAACCTATCTTCTATTTTATTAACTATTTTATCTTCCATTAAGTCTGTTAAGATTAATAAAAAGATTCGCGCAACTTCTTAAAGTCTTCTGTTTTAATTAGTTCATCCAGATGACATCATAAAAAGTCACCGTTCTTTTTTACTAGGCAGTTTGCTTATTTATCGTTCAAATAATTTAAAGAAATATAGTTTCAATTATTAATATTTTGTTACGATTATGCTCATGTTGTTATGTTTATGAGATATGATGAAAATTTTTGTTATTGTAATTTATATTATGTCTTTAAATCATAATTGTAGTCGTAGTTTAAATAATTTTAATGTAAATTTAATTACTAAGAAATTTATTATAAATTAAAAAAGAGAAATTTAGTATAAAAAATTAAAAAAACATAAGAATGCTAATTAAATTCTAATTAAAGAAAAATTAGTTTCCACGAAGCTTTTACGTTTAATTTTTTTAATGTACGGTGTTATTTAGATTGTGAGTTGAAACTCTCTCTCTCGCAAGAGGCATTACACGATTTAATGATTGTGTAATTCATTTTCGTTCAATGATTATACTCCATTTTTCTTTTTCAGTGATTTTTGGGAGTCCTTTACCATCAACCACATCGGATCCTGTCAACCAGTCTCAATCTCCAAGAGTGACATCTTCGGCGATCGAGGCCGAAGACATTTATCGCACGTCGAAGTCAACCAGGCCGACTTTTCGAATCGCTAAGGCTATTGGTCTTTATCCACAGACGAATACAGCCGTAGTGCCTGACAGGCAGCAATCCGTCACTACTATCGCCTCGTTGCTATTAGAACGTGGAGATACTGTTTCTGAAACGAGCGTCCACGAGACAGTCGAGCTAAGTTTTCGCAGTAATATCTCCAACGTCGAGCCGCTTGGCACGACGATACCGCAGCGTGTCGCGGAGAACGTCGAGAGAATCAGGAACTCGACGAAGAAGGACAGTAAGATCACGTGGATCCTGACAACTAACAAATCGTCAGGTAAACCGAAGTACGATCAGGAAGAGAGAAATCAATCTAGCATTGCCAGAAACGTTAGCTTCGAGGAAGTCGAAGATCTCACCGTGCTACCTCTTCAAGAAGAAATGTCGAAGGTTGATTTAACGTTAAACAGAACAAGGTCTTCCTTCGTAACGTCCTTGTCCTCGACCGGAGTTGCTAGTAATGCTGCAATCAGGACATTTAATCAATCCGAGGACGAGGTCGAGATCGACGAAGAGGTGGCTCAGACGCAGCATTTCGCTACAGCGGCGTCTATCCTTGGAGGTAAACTTCAGAGAGAAATGTGTTACAGTGAATAAAAATGAGAATGATCTCGACAATTGATGGCCATAATGTTATCTCGCGCAAGATAGAGAAGAGAATCACATTATATTTTAATTAAATTGTTTTCAACAACAACGTCGACATTGACCTTCTTTTTCATATACGTTTACTACTTGTATTTTGGTCTCTGATTAAATTTAACATTTTAGTAAACAATAGAAGTAGAATAGATGTAAAAAGTTTCAGAATTAGCTTAGTTAAGATTTAGCGATAAGAGAAAGAGAGTTGAGTACTTTAAACTCTTTATAATGATCGCATGAAACAAATGTGCAGTTGGCGAGTCCACTCGTCTGAGCAGAGCGAGGAACACTTTCATCACGCAGCACTTCCAGAGGGATCAAGTGCAAGAAGACAATCAGCCTTCAGATTATAACACTGGTAATATCAGTGAAAGTACTGAGCAAGGTTCGACGACATCCGCTGCGGGTATAGCTGCTATTACAGGTAGCTGTTTAGCGACTGTGGCCCTGCTCAGCACAATGGGTAGTCTCGGATTCATTATATACAGGTAATGTGTCGTGAAGTCGTAATGTGTATTAATTACATCTGCGTTCTGCGTTCACTAAAGCATTTGTTCATTAATTCTTTTTTTCAGGCGCAAGTACTTGAACCCTCCGCAAACATTAAACAGTGATAAATGCAGCAATCCCGATAGCTCCGGTTATATCGATGATTCCACTATTCGCGTTAGTATTATTATATTCATAAATATTTAATGTGTATCCAGTGGGGATTTATTAAATTAACCATTCAAATAAATCTCTAATATATTTATGTTATATAAAGAACACTTTTATTTTATTTACACTTTATTTATATTTTTAATGTATTAATATTTTTCTTACTAAACATCAGTTAAAAATGTTATATAAAAGTATTTGTTTTAATTGCAGGATAACTCGGAGGAAATGTACAGTTTGGATAATGACTCGTTCCTAAATTCGCTAGAGGCAATGACAATACAGAATTATTGGACTGACAGTGTAAAGCATACGAAGCTATGACAAAAGAAGATAACCCATCCCGGAAAGAGAATCGAGACATTTAGCATTTCCGACGGTGAAGCACATGAGCAAGTTTCTCTGCTTGAGCAATAGTACTTACACGTCCGAGATACCGTATTCTAATTATCGTGCAGCAAGTTTTGTTGCCCGATGTATATCTGGAGGCAGTGAGAACATGCAGCGCTTGAGAGTCATTAATCAGTTTTGATGAGCTGCGTCGAATGTTAGTTACCTTGGACGTTATTACTCTGTACGACGTAAAAAATTATAGATCAAAATTGCGAATCGGCACGTATCTGTCATTTCGCGACGTGTTGATTTATGCCACTTCCATCGTTCCTATATTTTTCTACGACGCATGCGACCGGCTAAAGTCGCGCTTAGGTAGGAAGTGGCGGAATTATCCTTAAATATATATATTTCCATTAATGATATAGTGCAATAAAAATGAAAATTGATGTACTTTATTATTAAATTAATATAATAACATTATTCTAGAAAAGTAAGAGTACAAATAAGGCTATATTAGTTCATAGCTAGAGCATTTGCTAAACTAAAAGAAAAATTAATTTAAGGATATTGAAGTAATATCCCTAGTATTTATAGTACAATGCTTCCAATATTGCGAATTGGAATTCATACGTACAATATTGTACTTACTAATGGTTTTTAATCTTGGATTTGAATGCCGGTGTCTTCTACAATTTCACTTTAAAATTACATTACAATTGTGGTGATTAGCTTTGGCCATATTGACAGTCGCTTAATCAGATAACTTAAATATTTTCGAAGATCGGATTTACGGAAGATCGGACCAAATCGTACGTAGATCTAGCTTTACGCCTTTACGACATATCCAGCAAAAATATTGATTCATGTTTTCCAATACAAGAAATCTAGCTTGTACCTATGTACATACATACCATTGTAACGTTTTATGTATAGATGTGCAAATATTGCAAATCTGCCGTCGCGTTAAGTGAGACGTGATTAATTTTAAGTAGCGTTAGCGTTTACCTAAATATATTTCTATACATTCGAAATGGGGGGGGAAAAAAAGACAGAGAATCCATTGTGATAGATCGTAGCGTTTAATATATGTAAAATTATCTTTGGCTCGTTTATGATAACGGTTGTGAATAAACACGTTCATGTATTATACACATTCCCGCCGTCCCTTCCTTTATCCGTAATCTTTATTTTTAACGTGATCCAATTGTTCCGACTTGAATTAACAATTGGACAGATGCCCAAATTTTTATGATTTTTAGATTTATAACTGTTATTTTACAATAGAGCGTGTAATATAATAAATATACATATATATATATATATATATATATATATATATATGTGTGTGTGTGTGTGTGCATAATCTTTGTTCCAAAAATTTATTTAAATAAAAGCACTAAACCTAATAAATTAAAGGTCTGGATTTATAATTGTAAATGTCTTTGATCCAATCATTGTCCTTATAAAATATTTTAATAACAGTTATCACAAAAATGTATTTTTAAAAAATAGAGATAAAATTGAAGAATAGTTTATATCATATAAATGATTTATTTCGTTAGTACGTACATTTGCGCCAGCACAAAAAAAAATTGTATTTTATAAAATGAAAGTAATGCAGAGTTTCTTTTCCGAGACTAGACACATGCGCCGTAGGATTCCATTACCAGTTCGTCCTTGTCCTCTTTCATGATTGATTTTAATTTTCTGTTGTTTACTATACGACTTGCACTCTTCATGTTGGAAAGGCAGGACACAACAGTGATATTGGAATCCTACAGTCAACATTTTCCCGACTATCGCGATGCTCCTTCGATCTCCAAGAAACGTTCGACCGAATTTCTTCAGTAGCAATATTATTCCGCAATAAAAATCAATTCTGACTCTCAATATCGCAATAAAAACAGCGCTTGAATTTGTATACCCTTTGTTATCAAATGCTTGTCAAAATCCTGCTTTTTATAATAATAATAATCAGAATATTATTAACGCTGTACAATAATAATAAAATTTTATTATGAATCTTTTGGTCAACTGAAGTTTCAGCTGCTCCAAAAATTCGGTATACTCTTCTTATTACTGTATTGAGAGCCTTGTCGTCCAATGTCATTATGTTTTATCATATTCACAGGGCAGTGTTAGAAATATCTGAGTTACACTAATACGTAAAAGGCAGGCACTAAGTGACTCCGCAAGCTTCGTTGCTTGTGAGCAAAGAAATCGAAACTTGATGTACACCGCGTTTTTTTTCTCCGACATTCGACCGAAAAGTTCCCTCGGCACGGTGATATTGGCGGATTCAAAGATAAAGCGATGCAACGCAACATTCTACTTAGTTTCTTTTCGCGAGCTCGTTCGTGCCTTAAATCGGAGTAAAGTTGTAAATGCAACGAAACATGTTTGTAGTATTCAAAAAGTGAAAGAAAAGATATACTTTCGAGATTTGAAATGATTATAAATCTGTAAATTATACGCGTGTATCATAAATCGCAATCGATGCTGCCTCTGTTATCACATTTGAGATTTATATCAGTTTTATCGCTATCAACGTGATTTCCATTCATCCTTGATGAAACAATTGCGATAATATGCAACCTAGCAAACGAATATAACTGCTATATAATATAAATATAAAGCACGTATATTTATATATATATATATATTATATATCAGCTCTATATTTGTGTTTGCTGAGAATTTACTCACTCTGCTATATATGCCTCAATATCTTAGAATAAAAAGAAGTATACATATATATATAAATATAAAGTATCGCTTGAAAGTATGGAACTTGTCGAAGTGAAGATGTTGTACTTGTGGTTTGTTAAGTACATACTAAAAATAGATGATAATAATATAACGTTAATCGCATACGACTCTTGTATGGTTTCACAAATTTTCTCTCGCGTTTCACATTTCGTTACAATTTACGTTGCAATTTACGAGCTGATGACACGAGTGCGTTTCATTCTCGCGCAAAGTTTACAGAAAAAAGAGTTTGCTTGTAGTATATACGAGTATATCATCTTCGAAAAATATAGAGATCATTTGTCGCGATGACAACGTAAGTGGATGATACTTTCGCTAACCAGCGATATAAATATCCCATTGCTCTTAAACACTCGGAAATTTCACGCAAGGTCTCTCCTTGCCTTTTGCAAACGCGTCTTGCGAAAGAGTCGTACGCACAAATCCGAGCACGACGGAAACGTGGTTGCAACTGCGTTACACGTTTTTATCATTGGTGTTTAAACGAGGAGCAACAAAACGCGTAGTCTTATGAACGAGTAAATTTTATACTTTCTTTGAGGATAACTGCCCGTGATCTCTACAAAAATATTTTGTTCTCTTCGTTACAACAGCCTCAATGGCGCGTCTTGTCAGTTGTCATTGGCGTCGTCCTAAGTCAAATCGAATTTCTATCATGTTCCTATTAGTTTCTTTTAGAGTCGAGCAAACGGAGTAGATAAATCTCTTTTGCTCGCATCGCAGCTACATCGAATTTGGAAATTGAAATTCGCTATGTACAATCATGCTTTCCCATTACATTCTTCGTCTCCTAAGACAGACGAAACTTACTATGTTAAAGAAAATGACAGCTAACTACTCATCTAAAGTGTACGCTTGTACACTGGACACAATAATTATTCTCTATGCACCAGGCTCGTTAGTAACGGTTTAAGTTTATACGTCAAGGTCTGGATGTGAGTTTGCGAAGAAATAATTAATCTAATAATCGCATCAGACAATCATATGCTGCGATCGAAAATTGCATTGATAGTTGTAATTCGATTTTCAGATTATGTCTACGTTTAGAAAACACATGATGTTCTTAGATAATTTCGCCTGTGACAAATTACCAAGATTTTCGCCAATTCAGAATTTCTGATCATATATCGTCTGTCCACTGTTATTTCTGAAATATTTGCAGTTTAAGATAACATCAAACATCCGTAAATTCCTAATTCTATACATTTAGACTTCCACGTAGGGAAACATTCGCCCTCGAATCCATTTATCCTCCTTGGATTGTAAAAGTTCTCGGTTTTCAGATCCGCAATTATTAACAATAACGCGATCATGAAAACCATACACGGTGCCTCTCTGTCGATCTGTAACAGTATTGTTACAATTATCAACGAGAATGTTCATCGTGAGGCTATAAGTGGAGATCAAAATCCGAGGAGTCATCGGATTTCTTCAATACCGCGCGATTCACTCATCGTTCTTCTTCAGGAACGAATGGAAGATGTAGTCGAAGACGTTGAAGCAAATCGATTCAGTTTGCTGTCAATGATGATCTCATCACCGTTCCTAATGTTGTAGCGATAGAGCTGCTTGTTTGGATAGAGCATTTCTTCCGGTCCATATTGCGCCTTCATTTCCTAAAATTATTAATTCATTTCAATTTCTTTAGCGTTGTTACTGCAATACGCGATATCTAATTTTATTGTAGCTAAATGATTAAGAATTTGCGTTTGTACTTTATATTGTAATTATATCGGACTTCGAAGAAGGCAACAAGCAAGTCAGGATAAGGATCGTTTGAAAGGTAATGCGATTCATATCGCAACTTCGGGTTTTTTAAAGGATGGACTGTGTCAAACACTCTGCAAACAATATTAAAGTCATTCAGTTAATATAGAACAGAATAACTTACTTGGTCAACGTAGAAAAGCCTCATTCTGTTGGCAGGAATTTTCACCATACTTTCCAACTTAGTTTTTAATTCGAAAACTGTTCTATATACATCAACCGATCGTACCTGAAAGCATAAATTGTACGTGACTGTCATTTCCATCAAATAAAAAATATAGTTCAGAAAGTTCTTCTATATATATTACGAATATGTATTTGTAGAAGTAAATACTTGTACAGACTTGATTATTTTTCGAGTCGCGTGTTCAGGAAAAATTATGGAACTAGTGAAAGTTTATCGTTACGCGCGATACACTTGTTTAAAGTGATGAAATCCGATATGATATGAAATTCAATACCTCGACGAGATCTCCGTAAGTGAACGTAACCTTGACCCTTTTCTCCGGTGTTAAATCTACGTTCACCAAGGGGTCCAACTTTCCGTGAATAGCCACAAGCTCAGAATATCTGAAAATCATAGAAGAGGGTCAAGTTGGACTTCTCCGGGCCCACGAAAAAGGGGACGAGCATGGTCATGAAACGAGAATAGTCTAATAGACTCTGGCGAAGATTCTTCTTGGAATCGTCCGAATAAGGCTTTTTCGCGAGAAATTTGGAATTTACGTTAAAAGCGCATTAAAGCAACTTGCGGCGCTTTTGAAAAAGTATTTGAGATTAATTTTACGCAAGTCTTAATTATTATCAAAGGAAAAACCTATTAAGATTGAACTTGGCATCGAGATTTACCTTTCGGGTCGATCAGCTTCCGGTTTGTCCATGTAATAACGTATGAAGGCCCTCTCGGCGTCCTCGCGCTCTTGAGACGATATCACGCCGCCGCCGTTCAAAGTCTCGACGTTTGGCAGTCGGGCTATTAGTAGCTGCCGCCTCTCGTGTTCTGTATATTCTCGAGGACTCTGGGAAATATTAAACCAATATAAAACAGTGGCCAAAAGCTTGCAATATCTAGTACAGATGGATAGTTACGCAAATATGAGGATTGACAAGTTAAATTAGATTGGATAAAAAAATATATACAAATTAATTTAATTAATTAAAACAAAAAACTGCAGATTATAAACGCCAATAAGTTAAAGAATAGAAAATATATTCCGTGGTAAACGATTTTTCATTGAAATGGTTTTTCATTGAATCGAAGGCTACCATGTTACTTTTAATTAGCACGATGACGTGTTGATTTATCTAATTAAATTTCTCGCACATAAAGTAAAACTTCTCGTGTAACAAGTTCTAATATTTGCTATTGCATTGTAACTATATTTTATGTTAATTTTTATTTATTTATTTTTTTTTTACTTTGTATTTAAAAAAGACGACACAAAGATTTAATCCACTCTAGCAATAAATACAAACAGCGATTCTTTTTATTTCACGGATCGTCTATTAATATTGAATTTTCTTAACACAACTGTGTTTGGAAGTGTAATATAGGGGATGCTTGCGTAGAGTGTATTGATTTCAAATTCCAAGAACTTGTTTTTGGAACCCATGT